GGCTGGCTAAAACCAACAAGCGAACAGGCTGATGTCAAAGGTGCCGACAGCATCTCCTGTAATACTATGGTCCCTGTTTGAAAGGTGTCGAGCATCTGCAGCAATACAATGATCTCTGTTTGTCAGAACATAAAATAAACTGTCGTCACACTTGTCTAAATAGACGACTCATAATTCCTTTCTTTCTAGAGCGTTTAATTGTTTCATTCAGGTTTTTAGCTCACGAGTCAGGTCCCAAATCTTGGTTAGGATATATTTATTTGTTTGACCTATAGTTTTTAGACTTTTAACTCAAAAGCTAGCTTTCTGACTTTTGGTTTTTCTGTCTTAGCTTTTTGCTATTAACTTTAATAATAAATTTTTAGCTTCTCAACACACTAAAATCCAGAAAAATTTCTCTCGAAGTGCTTTTTAGTTTATTTCCTAACAAGCTAGCTTTCTACCTTTTCAAAAGCCAGCTGAACAACTGACCTGTTTGTTTCAGCTTCTGAATTCTAGCCGACAGAAGCCATCGAAAAGCTAAAACAAACATGCCTTAGTACTCATTTGTGAGACCTGTGTGTCAATGTGACACCATTTTAATTTTTTCCTTTATGTATTTTTCTTCTTTCTCATTAAATTCTCTTCCTCAGAGAGCACGACTCTCCCTCTCGTGTTTTGCTCTGCTCCCCCTCCCCACATCGCTATGCTTTCTCTCTCCTTCACCCCCGCTTGCTCCCCCCTCTCTTGCCAATCATGAACTTGTGTTGCTTGGAGGCCAAGCTCCTCCTCTCACCCAAGCCCACGCTTGTCGGTTGCCAAGGGCCAATCTCAGTGGAAGGAGCTCGAGATGGTGCTCTAGCCAATGGAGGAACTAATCGGAGACGTCCATAGCCATAGGTGATGGATCCGGTCAGGGTGAGGTGATCGATGGAATCAGGAACACTAGTGGCACAGTCGAGTAAGCAGGCACATTGAAGGGAGTGTGATTTGAGAGCCCTCCTTATTTGGAGACATGAGAAAAGACATTATTATACCACAATTTTTTTCTCTATCGTTAAAGTTAGAGTAGACCGTCTGTTTGGAGTTTGGCATGGCTCCACTTCACTAGTGAAGCCAGCTTTTTGGCTTCAGCTTCACGAGCAACTCCAGCAGAGGACTTGGAGCTGTTTTAGTGAACTGTTTGGCAAAACATCTCTACATGTGGAGCTTTTTAAAACATGCTTTCACAGAATCCTACGTAGGACCCACCAGAGAAAGTTAGAGCTGGATGAAGCTACTATTTTTAGGTCTATGTCACATCCATCCCTTGAGAGAACTAGTCGGGGATGTCCATAGGTGGTGGATCCGGTCAGGCCGGGTGGGGCAACTGGTTGAATCAGGAACACACTGGTGGCACGGTCGAGTAAGCATGCACATTGAAGGTAGTGTGATTTAAGGGCCCTCTTTTGTCAGGAGACATGAGAAAACACATTATTGTACCACAATTTTTTTTCTCTATCCTTAAAGTTAGAGTAGACCATCTATTTATTAGAGGGGTCCTGTTTGGCATGGCTCCACCTCGCTAGTGAAGCTATTTTTTTTTTGCTTCAGCTTCACGAGCAACTATAGCAGAGGATCTGGAGCTATTTTGATAGACTATTTGGCAAAACAGCTCTACACGTATCTTCTTAAACTATGCTCTCACAGAATTCCACATAGGGCATTAGATGAAGTTGGAGCTGGGTGAAACTACTATTTTCAACTCTTTGTCCCATTCATCCCTAGTGAGAGCATGCTTTAAGGAGCCCCTAAGGTGGAGCTATTTTATTTTACTCCGTTTGGCATAAAATATCTCTTCAAGCCAGTAGAGGAGCTGTACCAAACAGAGCCAGAATCTATTAGGGATGTTTTAAAGGTCCAAATATAGGCGCACTACAATATACATGCATACTTTCATATATTATATTTTTATACGGCTCGTAGTAGTTATATTTTCTATGTTAATATTCGGTTCGTGGCTTTGTGCGAGCTTGGTGGCTGCTCCACAGCCACTGTATGCAGAACCTGGCTTGAAATTAAAGGTCGAGTGAGACTTACAGGGCTTAACTATCCCTGTTAGGTGAAAAGAACCCATATATTATTTATTCAGGGCGCCATGTGAGTCGCTGAGGTTAACGACGAGAAGAGAGATTGCTTCGTGTTCGCCGAATCTTGTGCGCTCGCTTGCGTATCTCGTCGTCTCCCGTTGACTCCGATCTCTATCGGTCTCCTCCCTCCACAGAGTACCAAACAACGTGCAGCAGGAGAGAAACAACAAAAAGGTCACGCACTAGCAAAAAAAAAAAAGGTCGGACCTGCACGCAAGCCGTCTAATATATGCCCAATTACACCGACCAAACCGTGAGCCTAATAATTCAGGCTTTGTTCGGCTAGTTTATAAGTCGCTTGTGCTGATTTATACGACTAATTTACTTGAAGAGAAAAATACTATAGCATAACTGAAGCCGGCTTATAATGACAGCCGAACAGAGCCATAATCTCAGTACGGAGTAGTATATGTGTGCTAGCTAGAAGAACCTGCTAACTCGATCGATCTATCCGATGTTGTGGTACACACACATATACAGATAGCTTGTCGATGCAAGCAAGTTTAACTCTGATTTTTTTCTGGAACGTACCTCAGGCACGGATTTCATTAAGCAGAAGCAGAGTTTTTTGGTTACAAAGGACTGGCCGGTAATCCTAGAATTACCAGCGCAATCCCACAAGCACAAACGATACAGCAAGAAAGCACGGGGGGGCCCTCCACCACCAAACCCTTACAGACTGAGACTATTACATGAAGACAAAAACATATTGGTAGCTTAAGGTGTAATGTAGCCGCGATAGCCAGCATCCACCAAGGAAGCCAAGGGAGCCGGCACGACAACAGCGGCAAAGCATCCACACGAGAAACGACCACGGCGGCCAAGCATCCGTCGGAAAAGGACCATTACGGCAAAGCATCCGTAATGAGGGCCATCACACGCTCTGCAGCTGAATGAGCGTGGAGATTGAAGCGATGAGGTGGCCAAGCATCCACCCAAGCAGCAACAGCGGCAAAGCATCCGCCAACGAACCGAACGACAGCGACAACAACAAACACCGAAGGACAAACCAATGTGAAGATAGAGTTGAAGCACAGATAGGCACAGCAGAGCAGGCAGCAACACCGACGATTGACGCGCGGGTAAGAGAGTTGTGGCAGCTGCAGTGCCCCAAACGAAGCCTTCAAGAAGGGGATGATATCCACGGATGCCAACAATGTTCGGAGAAGCACAGGCAGGATTTACATCCGTGGGATGAACAGAGCTTCGGCGACACCTTCAAGAAGGTAGGTGACGCGTGCTGCGCCAACGCCGCCGGCCCAGATGAACACCCTAGCAGCAGAGCCAATGGCACCCGCCCAAGGCCACGGGCCGCCCAGCCGGTAGCAGGCCACTGCTGCCCAGCTATAGAGCCAACCGCCCCAGGCCGCGGCCGGGCCAATCCGGCCGCCACAAGCCTCGAACGGACAGCCGGCCGCCGTGACGCAAGAAGCCAGGCCACAAGACCGCCCGTCCCATGCCGCAACGGCAGTGGAGAAGCAGCAGCATCCGGCGTCCACCGCCCTGACCCCAATGAGCCAAGCACGCGCCGGCGCAGATCCGGGGAGGAGAAGGCCAGATCCGGCCCCGAGGAGCCCCCGGATCTGACCCATCGGCCGATGAGCTCACCGGAGAACCACCGGGAAAGGGTATGGAGGTGGAGGGAGGGGGGGGAGGAAGTGGCTGCGGCGGGCACCACTTTTCAGGCCGCCACCACCACACACCGGAGGGCAGCGACGGCGGCCGGAGGGAAGACGGGGAGGGGGAGGCCCTAGGGGCGCCGAGGTGGTCGCCCCCGAGTCACCCTAGGGGAGCGCTCGGGGGAAGAAGAGTCAAGTGCTCGTTAGAAACTGGGAGGTGATTCGCACCGTGGAAGTTTAACTCTGATTTCTCTTGTTTTGTGTCACGGCAAAATTGAGGCATGAACAGCCAACTACAGTGCTACTCTAAGCACAGGAATTTGTGCACAAGGTGCCGCGCGCGATCATCGCGGGCAAACAAGTACCGAGGTACGACTACGACAGAGAGTACTTGACCAACGCCTACGCTGGCGCTGACGGACGACGTACAGTACATTCGTTTGCCGACAGCGCACGGTCGTCGTCGGCAAACGCGTCCGCGCGCCGGGGGCCGAGGCTCGCGGTGTGTCGCCCGCCGGATGGCCCGCGCGGCCGCTAGCTACCTACGGAACACCCCGCCCCGATTCGCTGTACCCGGCCGCGTGCGCGCGCCCATGGGACCGTTCCTCCTCGATCGGCCTCCTCCGTTGCCCAAGCCTCGCGCGCTGGCCAACCGTTTCGCCTTCAGCGTGACTGACTGCTGCGTCGCACGCACCGTCCGACCGTAACAGGCGCCCGGAAAAGGACACGTCGTCGCTATAGTACTGACGGATGTTCGTTCGTGCAGGCAACACACGCGGGCCACCTGGCTTGGCCCCCGGCGCCAGCCTGGACCTGGAGGTGGGCGCGACGGCCGGCGCCAACACAAGCGCCGCCCGGGGTGGTGGTGGTCGTTGTACGACGGAGCCAGAGGCCATGGCCCGGGGCCCCTCGGCAACCCAACGGCCGGTCGCGGTCCCGGTCCCCTGGCGTGCCGGGTACCGGGCCCCAGCACGGGACTCCGCCGCGGGCCCCACGCCCACAGATTCGCGTCGCGGTCTAGGGAAGCTTGGCGGCCCCAACTATAAATAGCGGGCGGCCTCCCCGCGTCCTCTACACACACCCGGCCAGCCTCCTGCTCTCCTCCTCGCACCTTCTTCCACCTCTGCTCTCTGCTCTCCCAGGCCCTGCAGCTGCAGGCACCGAGAGAGAACAGAGTCGCTAGTAGCTGTTGCTTGGCTCCCTGTCTCCCACCACAAGGCTTCCCTTCCTTCGATTCGATCGGATCAAGTAGCGGCCTGCTTGATCAGTTGGGATGACGAAGCACGGCGTGGTGGTGCCGGTGCCTGAGGCGGCCGTGGCGGTGCCGCCCAACACGGCGCCGCTGTTCCAGTACCCGCCGCCGCGGGCCGCGGCTGGCGTCGCCGTGCGCAAGAAGTACCTGCAGATGGGCGGCGCGGGTACCGGCGCCGGGGGGCGCATCGCAAGCGGCTGGGTGGAGTCCATGCGCGCGTCCTCGCCCACGCACGCCAGGGCGCCCGCCGCGCTCGCCGCGGGCGTCGACGAGGAGCGGTACGCCGCGTGGATGGTGCGTGCGCGTCCCCGCCCCTGCATTATTTATTGTTGTTCATTCACGTTTCCCATTTACTTACTGCACGGTGGTGTCGTACTGAAATGCATGCGCTCCTCTGTTTCATGCAGGTGAAGCACCCGTCGGCGCTGGGCATGTTCGACCAGGTGGTGGCGGCGTCCAAGGGGAAACAGATCGTCGTGTTCCTCGACTACGACGGCACGCTGTCCCCCATCGTCGACGACCCCGACGCCGCCTACATGTCCGACACGGTAAACATACTAGACTGGACGTGCTCCTGCGGTCCCTGCCGGAGACTGACCAAACTCCCCTGCTTCAATCATGCACATGCACCTGACTGCCCCTGATCACCGCTTTCTTTGTTTCTCCGGCCTGGCAGATGCGGCGGGCGGTGCGGAGCGTCGCCAAGCACTTCCCGACGGCGATCGTGAGCGGGCGGTGCCGCGACAAGGTATTAGCCACAAATGCATGCATGCCATGGATCGATCATCGATGTCGATCACAGTCAGAGCACGCACGCACCGCAGTCACTGACGGGTTGTGGTTGTTGTTGCCGTGCAGGTTTTCGAGTTCGTGAAGCTGGCTGAGCTGTACTACGCCGGCAGCCACGGCATGGACATCAAGGGCCCCGCGAAAGGGTCCCGGCACACCAAGGCCGCCAAGGTACCCATCCATCCATCCAACCTTTGTTCTTGCCACTTCCGCATCGTCTCCGCCCACCCGAAAGGGGGAAGATTCTTATCTTGCTCTGTCCCTCTGTGTGGCTCACAGGCCAAAGGCGTTCTCTTTCAGCCGGCCAGCCAGTTCCTGCCCATGATAGAGCAGGTAACACTCACTGATCATCGTGCCCATGGCGGCCTGTTGGCTGCCTGCCTGCTTTTCGATCCTAGCTTCTTTGCAACTGCAACTGCAATGCTCAGTTTCGTTTCTGGTGTGTCTGTCATTGTATCATCAGGTGCACGATTCTCTGGTGGAAAAGACCAAGTGCATACCTGGAGCCAAGGTGGAGAACAACAAGTTTTGTGTGTCTGTCCACTTCAGATGCGTGGATGAGAAGGTAGTGGGCCAGACTCTTTCCTCCTTTTCTCTTCATTCACATATTTATATACTACCATATATAGAATTTAATTCTTCATTTTTTTGGTGTCTAACTAAGGCCTGAGATTGATCGAGAGAGACTGTGTATTAACTTCCTTTTTTCTTTTGTTTTACCATCATCTATTGATCATCGATCCAGAGCTGGAGCACATTGGCTGACATGGTGAAGTCGGTGCTCAAGGACTACCCGAAGCTGAAGCTGACGCAGGGGCGGATGGTGTTCGAGGTCCGCCCCACCATCAAGTGGGACAAGGGCAAGGCCCTGGAGTTCCTCCTCGAGTCCCTGGGCTTTGCCGACTGCACCGACGTGCTCCCCGTGTACATCGGCGACGACCGCACCGACGAGGACGCCTTCAAGGTGCTCCGCAAGCGCGGCCAGGGCGTGGGCATCCTCGTGTCCAAGCACCCCAAGGACACCTCCGCCTCCTACTCGCTGCAGGAGCCCGCCGAGGCAAGTGCCGTCTCCGTCTCCATCTCATTCTCGGGCCCGGGGCCCGGGGGTCGGTGTCCCCGGGTTGTCTCCGCCGCCGTCCGTCCGCTTCAACTCTGCCGCCACTTGCCCGCCGCCACACTGACATGTCTATCTATATATTCTTCTCTCGTGACGTGCAGGTGATGGAGTTCCTGCTGCGGCTTGTCGAGTGGGAGCACCTCTCCAAGGCCCGCCCCCACAAGTGGTGATGGTCCACGATGACAGACCGACGCGACGGCCACCCGGTGCCGCCGCCGGCGATCACCATCGAGGAGATTACTTACCGGAGGGATCAATTAGTATATATACTATATATATAAGTACTTACTAGTAGTAAATTATACTATGGGTGGTCGATTAATTAGAGGGATCGGAGGGACTAACTAAGATCGATCCCGCGTCCGTCAGCGTGGTGTCCGTACGTTGTTAACCCACTCCTACTCTTACTGAGCTGAGACGAGATGAGAGTTCACTGTGCAGGCACGGCACAGTCATGTGCGTCCACGGCGACTCCCTTGTTTTTACGGGAGCCGTCCTGTGCTTGCCGGGGACGAAGAGGGCTCTAAAAAAGGAAGCCTTTTGCTTTCTTGGCCGCTGGCCCTTTGGCTACAGCCATCTATCTGGCTGCTGCTGCTGTGCAGCAAGGTGAAGGATGTACATGCTGCTGTGTAGTGTATGTACGTACTACTACTACTACTACTACTACTACTACTACTCTCCAACCATGAACCATGGCTGCTGAATTCTGAGATTGTGTACAATAGCAACTGTCGATGTTATGTATGATATAATCTCTATAAAACAAGCTTGCTTTCCTCACTACAATACTGTGTGTGTCCCTTGATGTTCGTTCTCAGTGCATACATGTTGGACAGGCAGTAATCTCACAGGTTTAATTTGGTATACAGCACATATCTGTGAAGTTTCAGTGGAACGAATGTCTAGAAGGACCGTTACAACCCTGAAGAAAGCCACACAACACAAATGGCCTACAACTAAATGTAGGTGGGACCTTGGACTGCTTTTTGGCTGCAGCTTAGCTGCTGGACATCCGTCCCATTCGGCGGCCACTCCCAGTCCCATTTCCCATCCAGGTCCAGGATGTACATATGATATGTCCCTGTTGGACCACTCCATACATGCTATGGCTTTGATCTACCAGCTTGTGTGCAATGTATGTTATCTGCTCAAAAGGCTTCCCTGAAAGTTGCCTGCTTTCTTGTCAGCATTTGTTTTTTTTCCCCGAACGCCCACCCTGAGAGGGCGTGATCTATCCTTTTGGCTAAGATTTGATTCCTAAAACGGGTTATTCTAGAAACTAGGTCGAGGCAGGACTCCGATCCTCGCCAAAGGAGATTTCGACATGCTACGCTAGGCTATGGATGCACAAGTACGAGTGCAACCCCCACAAGTCATGATGATAAGCTACTTTGCCAACAACTACTAGTCGCAGTTACTTGTTAGGCACTCCCCCATTCCTAAATATCTGTGCTTTTTTGCTTACTGAAAAACAACTTTGACTAAATCTATATAAAAGAATATTATTATTTATGGTACGTAATTAATTGATATTTAAATCTACTTTTTAATAAATTTATTTGAAAATACAAATGTTGCACGTATTTTTTATAAATCGAGTCAAACTTTCGATACGGAAACCAACGGCGACAATTAATTGGGGACTCTGAGTAGTCACTCTTTCCAAAATTATAATAAGGCATATTATTATTATTATTATAGTACAATTTTCATGTTTTGTGCTCATCACTTGCCAATGACAATGAGCTTACTCGTAATTTGGGTCAATGATGACACAATCTGTTGAAGAAAGTTGAAATCTCTAAACTTTGATCTCTAAAAAGTCAAATTATAGATGTGTTCGGTGTACAAAAATTGCATCAACAATGGTTGAACACTGAAAATACATTTATGATTACTTTTATCTGTACGAATTGATAATATAATATAAGAAAAATTAATAGAAAGAGTATATTTTTGAGACTTTCTACTTCCAAATATGTCTTAAATTAATCAACAAATGCAGAAATCGTGGTTTATGATCCAGGCCCCGTTCAGCCGGGATCTGGTTCCATGCTATAACCGGAGGAGCAACAAATCGTGGTTTCTCCTAACTCCACGTTTATTTTGGCACAAGAGAGAAAAAACAACTCCTATAAACAGCACTGCCAAATTGCATGGTGTAGAAGCAGCTAAAGCCACAAGAAACCCTATCAATCACGCTCTTAGGAATTTGTTTGATATATTCATCTATGATTCGTTGGTTGACATCTAGTCCCGGTTGGGAACTGGTTTTAGTCCCGGTTTACCAACTGGGACTAGCGTTCCGAGACTAAAGGTGGTGTTCTTTAGTCCCGGTTTGCCACAACCGGGACTAAAGATCCTCCCAGCTTAAAAAAATAATGCCTCCCACCGCTGCGCCCTATGAGATTCGAGCCCAAGACCTCATGCACTGCCTCGCGTGAGCTTACCACCCCACCTACACAACACATCTAACAATGGATGTGACGCTTTCCTTTTGAACTAACCCATCGGGAGACCTTTAGTCCCGGTTGGTGTTACCAACCGGGTTGGTATTACCAACCGGGACTAAAGGTTGAAGGACTTTTAGTCCCGGGGGCAAAAAAAATGCCGAGACTAATGTCAAATTGAGATATCGTTCTAAAGTCTGTTCTCTAGTAGTGGGTTGATCGAGGTGACGGACATCATTCATTTGTGACAACCTTTGAATCAGTAGCGCGGCTACACATTCCAAGACAAATTTATTTTGGTTAAGAAAAAGAGAGCTTAATGTCAATATCTATGGAAATATATGTTACCGCTGATTCAAAAATGGACGATGGAGACACCGAGGCTTACTCTGCATCCCTGAACATCATGCATACCCTGTTTCACTAAAAAAAACATCATGCATACCTTACTACTATTTATGAGGCATAACAAGTATCACTGAATTAATTTTAATATATTTTTTATAATAAATGTATTTAACATATAAATCTTAAGACTATTTTGTATAATAACACTAATCAAACTTGGCATTTTTTTTGACTCAACAGGATGCATGATTTTTATTAACTTTTGGGATGAAGAGAGTAGTTAGATAAAGGAAAAAGGTTTCCATACAATAATTTTACAGGACACGTTTTAGGCTTATTTGGATGGACTAGAACTAAACGTAAGCCTCGACTAAACATTAGTTAGGTAAACTTTAGCCCGCTAAAAATTAGTCTATGGGTGTTTGGATCCTAGCTAACATATTTTTGGCTAGACTTTTTTAGATAATAGAAGAACATCTGGCTTCATACCCACAAAAGTGAGGACTCAGACCAAAATTATTATAGGACACAAATGCTTAAAACAAAATCAATCTCATACGCTAGACAAACTTAGTTTGTAAGCCTAAAGAGATAAGACCACCCATGGGAGGCAAAGAAAGCCATTGATGCGGTCTCCAATGTGTGGAAAGTAAGATGATGCGTTCTTTCTTGTCATGAGAACGCTGCAATTAACTTCAATGACGAAGCCAATAAATTTCTCGGAGTAAGACCTACACAAAGTTTTTAGTTTTACAATTTTCAAACACAATTTCATTTCTTGTCAACGAAATTGACCAGCATAAGGTTGTTGTCACTGTTAGAGGCGGAACAATACCAAAAACAACAAATAAACCTCGCCATAGAGCCCTTGCCAAAAAACAATGAAATAAAAAGTGTTAAATTGTTTCATGGCCATTAGATAAGCTACAAAGTTTGTACCTGAAAGTCCTAGTTTGGTTTTGGATAATTGATGAAACCTAAGTACTAACCTATGTCATTTAGTGTGATCATGAGCTAGGTTGGTACACACCAAGTGATGGAGCAAGTTGGAAGTCCATGGAGATGAAGATGGACATGTGATGATGGTGATCAAGCTCCAACTTGGAAAAGAAGAAAAAGAAAAACAAAAACCAAGGAGATCAAGGCAAAGGTATCAAATAGGTTTTTGTTTTGGCACTCAAGACACCATAGAGGGTGTGAGTGTGTTTAGGATCGATAGCCGTACTATAAAGAGGGGAAATCTTTGGCTAAGCGGTTATCGAGTGCCACTAGGTGACATGATTCTTGCATATGCATTATGAACCTAGTGTGCTAACAATTAACTCTTGTAAAATGCTTTAAAAAATGCTAACACACATGTACACAAGTTCTACACTTTGTGATTAGCAACTTGAAAGCAAGGGTGAAGTGTTGGAAAAAGGAGAAGAGAAGGAGCAGGGGTGTCGGACCCTAGCTCAGGAGGCATCGGACCCTGCCTGGCCCGGTCCAATGGCCAACCCTAGCTCTCAGGTGCGGGCACAACTGCGTCGGACCGTGCAGAGAGGAGGCGTCGGACGCGATCGAAACCCTGTTCCTCGGGTCCAACGGTGACCAGCTAACGAGGAGGTTGACGCGAGGTTGACACATGGAGGTGTCGGACCATTGCCTGGGTCCGATAGTAGGCGTCGGACCAGGGTCCGATAGAAAAACCGGTTCAGGAACCTCTCTGCATGAATTTTATGGGCATTGGACACTAGGCGTCGGTCGGTCCATCGGTCGCGCTTGGCTGGGTTCGATGGTGGAAATCCAACGCTGTAGTGAGCCATTGGGCGTGTAACGGTCGTTCGAATTCAACTAGGACATGTGGCAGCCTGGGAGTGGCCACGGCTGGGTGTTGGACCCTATGTCGGACGGTCTGATGCCCCCACAGGGACGGTCTGACGGCCCTTCTCATGGCCTAACGGCTAGTAGAGCCTTTAGGGCTCTATAAATAGACTTGGCTCGGCTGTGGCTCACACTCTTGCATATTTTCATCAGTGAAGCATCCTTGTGACTCCAAGCAAATACATCCCACTCATCTCCATCATTGATTCATCATCATAGTGAGATTATGAGTGATTCCTAATGCATTTGCTTGAGTGATTGCATCTAGAGACACTTTGGGATCGTTGTGGCTACGGATTTCTTGTTACTCTTGGTGGTTGCCGCCACCTAGACGGCTTGGAGCCATGGAGGAGGATTGGCATGAGTTGGTGATTGTTCGTGGCCATCTCTGGTGATTGTGAGGGGTCTTGTACCTTCCCTGGTGGAGAGCCGAAAGGTAACTCTAGTGGATCGCTCGTGTCATTGAGTTACCTCACTTGTGGTAGGTTCTTGCGGTGCCTAGTGAAGGC